GGCTGTGTTGTGTGGTGCATTGGTTCACCGTGTGAGGGCCCAAGGACTTCAAACAATAACAATTACAAGTAGTTTTCAAAATCATTGACTCATTGAAGATCATGTGCGAGTGACAATCGTTGCTGAAATTTATTAAGTACAACATTACAGGGCAATCCGTCCCGTGACACGAAACAACTGCACCATACATACACAACAATAAATGAAATATGAAGATTGAACTCAATCAAATAATGTGCGAATACAATGTGCAATCGTCTGAAACATCGATAACAAAGTAGAAGGAAAACAAAAACAATGCAAGCACTGTAGATGCTGTGCCCATGTCTAAATATAGACTGCAATCCTTTGAAACATCGATGCAAAAATAAAACGAAAAAGAAACAATAATCTGCACCTACTCCACCTGTGTATGGACAATTGTGCAGTAGTCTAACCATCTGTACAAATACAAATCTAATAAACACTATACCTATGAACACATCATGTTATCCGAAGCACTAAGTATAATATACACTACTAAGAAATACAGGATGAAAGAGGACTAATGGTGGGGCTAAACATCATCGTCGTCCACAATGTCCTTCCTCCTCCTCTGCGGCACCGCACCTCTGACACCGTCGTCGCCACCTGTGCCGCCTACCGGCCCGTGCGCAGTATCCGGAGCATGAACCCCCCCCTGTGGCCCCGCGTCAACCCCGTGCTGTGCTCGAAGAAGGTCGTACACGGAAGCCCTCCTCCGCTGGCCACGAGGCATCTCCAAATCATCGGTACCGGACTCCAAAACGACTCCTGCCTGTGACGGTCGCTGCGCAGGCACCGTCCTCACATCCTCCCCCAATATACGTCCGACCATGCTCCTCCCGGGGGGCCGCTGTGCTCCACCTCCTCCCGCCAACCTACTGTCTCCGCGACAACGTCCAGGGCCAATGCCTCTCGAGTCCGCGAATGTAAACCGTCCAGCCCGGGCTGAGTCTCCCGCATCGCATGCGTCACCCTCCTCAGAGTACTGAGACTCTTACCTGCTCTCATCTTCTTCTTCCGTGATTTGGGAGAAGGAGACTCTGCAGGTGCCGGTGCGGTAATCCATCCCATAACTGGACCGTCAGCATATACGGAGGTAGTGGCACCAGTGGTGGACGATGGCAGTGACGGGCTGTAGGGCACGTAAGCTGGGGCCTCTGCCATTAACCTCCTCGACGCCTCGTCCATCTGTCCGCGTCGATCTGCCTGCAATGGGTCCTCTCGTACCTGCCGCTCCAACTCCTCCGCCGTCATGGCTCCACCGATAGGCAATATACAAACACCTTGAACCGTCGACGCGGGTCTCTCGCCTGCATCCCCGGCGCCCGCGCCTCCACACTCAAGCACTGCATCGTCCGTTGCACGATGACCCTCACTATCGCGCGTCTCTAGCATCCGCTCTGCCCGTGCCCTCGACGCAATACTCTGTGTCATCTCGCAACGGCTAACCATGTCCTGCGCCCTCTCCCTCTCCTCGCGGTCGATCTTGTCCTGCTCCGACTCTGGCGCTCGCTCCTGCTCAGGTCCACAATCCCCACCGTCCCCTGCTGCACACTCCTCCTGCCCCGACGAGCACTGTGTCCCCGCTGCTGCCTCTTGCAACATGCTGCTACTGATGTCACCCATGCTGCATGAAGGTACATCTCGGAGTATCTGACTGACGGGCGTAGCCGCTGCGTCACCACTGCCATGCTCGCCTGCCGGTGTCGGAGGAAGCCCCAACGAAACATCAAGAATACCACCGAAACTAACACCCAACTGTGCAGAAGCCCTCCCAACCTGCGCAGCCTCGCCAGCAACCTCTGCAAAGCCCCCTGCGACCTCCTCAAATGTTGCTGCAAACTCTCCAGCGGCCTCTGCCGACGCAGCAGCAAACTCAGCCGACCCGGCGCCAACCTCTCCTATCGCGGCACCCTCATCAACCCAATGCACTGTACGAGTGGAGGATGCAGACTCTCGCCTCGCCCGTCCTCCGCCACCACGGTCTGCACCACCTGTGTGTCTTGCGCCCCCCACACGCCTGCCTGCACCACTGTCCCCCCTGCCTGCACCACTGCATCGGTCGGCACGATGTCGACCCGACCTCCACAAACCACCTGCAGCCTGTGTACCATCGCCGCCCTCGTCGTCGGCGTCGTCGGCATCACCACGTCCGCATCTCGGGGAATACGCGGGATCATCCTCGTCCTCACTGCTGCCCTCGTACCCCTCTCTATCATCGTCGTCGTCGTCGTCTCGCTCGTCAACGATGTCGCGAGTCCCCTGCTCGCCATGTCCTGGACGATCTGTAGGTAGAGGGGGATGTTCCGCAGCGGCTCCAGTGGGAGCACGACCACTCGAAGGCGGAGGTGGAGGTGGAGGTGGAGGGGGATGCTGCGCAGCGGCTGCAGTGGAAGCACACGCACTCGGGGGTGGAGGTGGAGGGGGAGGAGGATGCTGCGCAGCGGAAGCAGTGGAAGGACGCACACTCGGGGGCGGGGGTGGAGGGGGAGGAGGATGCTGCGCAGCGGATGCAGTGGAAGCACGCGTCCGAGGACGCAACATCTCGGTGAGAAGATCATCGTTGCCACCATCATCAGAATCTCCGGGCTCAGACTCCATTGCCAGGTCGTCCGGATCGGACCACGGCTCCGCCTCCATCGGGTCCTAAGCCATAGGATCCGGCTCGGGATCGTACACGGCGTCCAACTTAGTCGGCATGAGCACCGTGGCGCGACGACCGAAATATGCCTCGACGCTCGGCGGAGCCCTGGAAAGGCGATCCTTCCGCCCGCGCTGCACCTGCCGCTCGCGCTGCGCCTCCGTGACTCGGTCAGCTGGCCGAACACCCTCGTCACGAGGCGGAGGAATGCTGTCATCTGTCTCCTCCTCAGCGTCCTCCCATGGCAGAACGTACCCTGAACCCCTCCCCTGACAACGACTCAATCTCAAGTTGGTGGATATCTCCACCAAACGAGCCAGCTTGATAAAACCAAGCTGGTTACGCTTCTTCACCTGAACACGCTCATGGACGGCCCAGTTCCTCTCCGCTGGAGAGGCGCACGTCAATGTGTGTGTCAGGCAAATGGCGTAAGTCTGAAGGAGAGGGACCCCATCCCCGTGCTGAACCCACCACTGCCCCACTTGGGACGTATCCTTCTCCCCTCTGCAGGAGGCCGCGTCCCTGTCACCCTCAACCCCTCCGTACGTCCAATCGCCCTCATGGCTAAGAAACTCAGCCAACTGCGTGCGCAGCGTCTGGTACAAGTCCTCATCTCCGCCAGTCTGCTGGCGAAGGTATCGCAGCGACTCCTTCGCGAGTGTCTTGTCGTGCTCGCTGCGCCTCGCCGCTCGAAAATACGTAATGCTCCTGTGGTGAGGGTTGAGGAGGTGGGCGATGCAATGTGCGGGCTCCAACATATGATCGGTCCGCGCCTGATAAGCCTGAACAACGATGTTCAGCTCCTCCCTCGACGTCCTGTTCAGTCTAGCCCTCGCCACCCTGTCGACCATGGCAAGTGCCCACGACCACATGCGAGTCATCATGCGCCCCCCTCTGTCTAGGCAGCACAGGCATCATGAGCTCCACGATGTCCTCCACGTGCTCCCAAAATGGCGCGTACTGCACCTGATGACGCACCCACCTGGCCTGCAAGAAAATGGACCTCCACCATACAGTCCGCAACCAGTCGTCGCTCATCATCAACGCCTCCAACGCTCGGCGACGATCCAACAACCTCTCCAGCATCAAGTAGTGGGTAGCAAACCTCGTCTGTGAGGGGTACACAAGCTCTCTGCCTCGCCGCTGAGACGAGGGTGGCGCAGCGCTGGAACTGGCTGCAACTGCGGAGGCGGACGAGGGGTGGGTGACAGAGAACCGCCGGTAAAGGCTGAGAGCTGCCCCGTGCTCTCTGATGAACCGCACGGCTGCTCGAGCCCTGATGATGGTGTCCTCCCTCTTCCCAAGCTTCCCGGGGGTGCCGTCCTTCGCAATGTCTCCGTGGTGACTTTAGCCGAGGGTAATGCCCCTTCGTTGGATGACTGTCCATAGCGTGCTTGTATTTCGGCCCAAATCCAAAGGCAGTGAGTGTTGCTTGCAGAAATTCCCAACCCACCCGATCATACGCCTTTGCTAAATCCAACATCACTATGGCGAGACTCTCCTCCCCTGCTGCAATCAGTCGGCCAGCTGTTCCACTATCATGATGTTGTGCAAGATCTGCCTTCCCTGAAGGAAGCCTGTCTGCGTTTGATGAATAAGTGATGGCAAAAATTTTTGTAACCTGGCTGTCAGTATTTTTGAAAACATTTTGTAGAGCACCGGCGTTAGTCTTATTGGTCTATAGTTCGCTATATTAGTTCGATCGCCTTTTCTGAAAACAAAGGTGATGACCCCTTGTAGTGCAGAGGCCGGCAAGGATGCCCCATTCCAGACAACCTGAAAAATCAACAGCAGATCAGGCAACAAATGCAGTGAAAAACCTTTAAAAAACTGAGCCGGTAGGCCATCTAGCCCCGACGCTTTGTGCCGTGACAGGGATGATACCGCTTCGACAAGTTCCTGCATGGCAATATCTGCTTCCAGCAGTTCCCGTTGGTGATTTGATAGTTTATTTTCCACTTTAGACCAAACCTCCTCATGAAACTGCTGGAGCAGTTGTTGCTCTGTACATTGCGCTTGCGAAGTCAGCAGACTTTCGTAAAATAAGGAAACATTGGCTACAATTGTTGGGGTTTCAACAGCCATCGGGACTGCGGCATCGAACGGGTGCTTTATAGCTGATATCATCTGTCGTTGTAGTGGCGGGCGGTGAGCAGTAAAGAAGGAGGAAGTCATGCGATCACCCTTCACCAGCCATCCTATCCTTTTGTTGTGGATAACGGTCCTCATCGCTGGTTGAGTTTGCAATGTCCATCGCTGCCCAAGCTCGTCCATCTGAGCAATTAATGCATGTTCCTTTTCTGGCCGTGTTGTTGTCGTCGCTTGGCGCATGAATGTTGTCAATTCATCATTTATTCTTTGTAGCTCAGACCGATTAACGAGGAGAATTGACTTCTTAATCAACAGCCCCCTATTCAGGACTATTCGCTGCCCCCCCTAGAACCATTCTGCCAGGGAAGGAAGCAAATTTTTTGCCGTCTTCCATTTGGGCCAAAATTCATACACAAACTGTGAAAAAGACGCAGTCTGCACTACCCATTCAGGCAAAGTGGTCCTATCCCTACCAATTCTAACAGTAAAATGAAGAAAAAATTCCAAAAACAACGGTGAATGGTCTGATCCTATGTATGGTATAACAAAGCATCTAGAAAGTCTAGGTAACAAATTGTCTGCTGAGAAGAAGAGATCAATGCGACTCCGGGGTAGATATTGTTGCTGCGGGGCCCCCGCCGAGAAAAAAGTAAACCCTTTTTCAAAGGGGTGAAGCACTCGGAAAAGATAAGAAAACCCGTAGGAGTAAGTGAAGTCCGTCAAACGGATGGCGTCGTTTCCAGCAGGTCCCGGTCGCATTGAATCAACACCTAGGACAAGGGTTGTATTCCAATCCCCCCCCAGGACGAGGTTATCTTCTTGAGGTATCATCCATGGCGGCGACCTAAATAAGTCCACTCGCTCTGACTGGGAAGTGGGGGCATAGACATTAAAGATTGCCCACTATTCCTGTCCCACAACAAGTCTCACCCACACCCATCTTCCAAAAGGGTCACTACAATGATAAGTGACTTGAAACGGTGCCGTCCTTGCTATGAGTATTGCAACACGACCTTTAGTTCCTTGGGCCAGGGCCCAAAACTGCTCCCCCAGCCACCAACCCATCTGCTCTGCAGTCGCTGTGTCGTTTAGTTTAGTCTCCTGTAGCAATATGATATGGATTCCTCTGTTCCTTGCCAAGGATTTAATCAGGGATCGCTTCACCACTACTCTTCTTGACCCCAAACCACGCACATTCCATGAGACCAGCCTGATCTTGTCCATGGTTCTTAAACTTCAACCCAGTCAGCGCATTTCAACATCAAAAACTGGTTGGAAAAGGTGCTTTTATGCCATGGGATATGTGAGTCCACTTGAGTAAGCAATGTCGCGTTCCAGCAGTCATACACTCTTGTGTCAACCGCTGTCTGCCCGCCCGGGTTTTTGAACAGCTGTAGCGATATCCATCTAAGGTCAGTGAGGGGAGCAGCCCCCTTGGCAGCAGGGTTGACTATCGCATCAATGAACTGAAAGTAGAGGATATCGGTACGCCCCTGGGCATTCGTAGGTGTCAACCGGACCCATTCCATGGCTGGGTAGGGCCGCAGTCTGTAGGCAGTCGCCAGCCACTTCTGAGTCTCCGCCAAAACGGATTCTGCAGTGGGCTCGACGTGTGTCTCAAAATGGGGGATAGACAGAGACCCTTCTGGTGAAAGGGCAGTCATGAGTTGCAAGTCGTCCTCTACTGCCAGGAAAACCAAGGGGATGATCACCCATGGTTGTCCCGCAGCTATCGCTTCCATAATAGAGTCCGGATATACCTCGGCCCGAAACTGTTGCTGGTTTAAATCATCCGCATGGGGCAGAGGGTCTCCCTCCCCCAAAAAGGCCTCATCTTCTGCCATGTCTGCCCAAGTGACGGCTTTCTCCTCTGTTTTTCGAGGATGACCTTGACGCTGGTACGGTTATCCTGCCGGTTTCGGTCCTCCAGAGAGGATTTTCTTCCTGTTTATCGAACTAGACTCTTTCTGCGGTAGCATGCGTACTTCTGGTCCAGGTGTAGACTGTTGCAGAGTCACCGGGACGAGAGGCTCGGTCGTGGATGATCCTTGTGCAGCTGTCATTGCCACAGTTGTTGCCACCACCGTGGAATTGGCAGGTCCTACAGACGTCAAGCCCTGCATAGGGCCAGATATCGAGGGGCTTGATGTCACGCCCACTGAGCCAGATACAGAATTCAACGAAACTGTGGCAGAGGCCTAGGTAGTAGCGTGGCCAGATGATGCCGGGGCCTGGGTAGTGGCGCAACCAGATGATGACGGGGCCCCTGTGGTAGCAGGTGGTCCCGAAGACACCGATGCAGTTCCCTTTTTGGGGCAAGACGCGTCTCCTGACCTATGGCCATACCAGCGGCATTCACGGCACCATGGGGAGTCTTGTGCTACTACCTCCACATTATGCCAACCCTGTGGAGAGCGAAATTTAAGGAATTTGGTGACTCTCAACTTTGACCGTGGGTAAAGATCAAACCTACGATTCACTAGTCGGGGCGCTGATTGGTTTTGTTTCTGGGGGTAGTTTTTTTTGATCTGGCCGTACTCTCTTTTCACAGCCGCTTCAAGAAAAGGCATGGCCAGAAAAGGGACCCTAAGGACCCTAATCCAGAACCTCTGAGACTGGAGATCTTCTCTCGCCTTAGCCTGTTCAGCCGGAGTAGCCCACTGTTTGTACAACACTCTACACAGTTTCCCTCCCACGGTAGTTTTTTCCTCTTTCTGCAATGTATTAATTAACCGATCTCTCAATACATGGTTGACGGCGAGGTAAGAAATCATGTTAGCTCCCTCCGGCCGAATTCTCCCTTTCTGGCCTTGCACCATGGTCAAGTCCCAACCCGCTTCAATCGATCACATCCATTCTTCCTTTTTTGCAAATGGGACTCCAGCTTCCAGTCCTTGAAAAACTACCAATACACCGTGTCTACGCAGGTATTCA